TAGATAGATAGATAGATAGACAGACAGACAGACAGACAGATAGATAGATAGATAGATGTTCGTGTTTCAGCATCAGATAAATGTTGATGCTTAAGTATACCGTTCTATAATCTATAAACCGAATTAAATACATTTGACTGATGAATTATAGTCATTATTAATTCTTAGGTGCATCCATATGCTGAAAACATCGAGACAGTAAACAGACAAACTCCACCTGTCCCTACATCACCACTAAACAACATCTACTTTTAAAATGAAAGCAGAACATTTATTAATCGACAAACTCCTTTCTCGTAAGACTCACGGGAGTATTTACTCATCAGATACGTGCAGAAACGTGAAATAACCCCGAGTCCTGCGCGCTCTGGATTTCTTGTCGCCGTCCATACGCATGAGCGCTCAGACGCGGTGACGTGCACGCACGTTACGTCACGCTTCTTGTGTATTGACGTCTCGCGGCTGGTCGGTCGCGGTTCATCATGGCGCTGCGCAGCGCGGCGTGTGTTCTGCTGCGGGCGCGGCGGTGGATGTGGCGCTGAAGCGTCACGCGAGGGGTCTTCGGTCCACCGGTGAGCGCTGCTGGACGATATTTGTGTGAATGTGCAGTTAATGAGTTCAATAATCAGTAGAGCCGAAGCACTTTTAGTTACTGCTTATCTTAGACGTGCTCTAAATGATTATATATTATATTATATATTGTTGTTATATTTTTATTACGGTGTATTATTTATTATAAGATGTATTATTATAATGGCTGTTTTTATTATTAAAACAATATTATAATATTGAAATAATCCCGAGTCCTGCGCGCTCTGGATTTCTCGTCGCCTTCCATACGCATGAGCGCTCAGACGCGGTGACGTGCACGCACGTTACGTCACGCTTCTTGTGTATTGACGTCTCGCGGCTGGTCGGTCGCGGTTCATCATGGCGCTGCGCAGCGCGGCGTGTGTTCTGCTGCGGGCGCGGCGGTGGATGTGGCGCTGAAGCGTCACGCGAGGGGTCTTCGGTCCACCGGTGAGCGCTGCTGGACGATATTTGTGTGAATGTGCAGTTAATAAGTTCAATAATCAGTAGAGCCGCTTCTCTCTCTCTCTCTCTGTGTGTTTGTGCGCGTTTTTGTGACAAATGAGGACATACATTTGTATAATGACAAGGGTATGACATAGGTATTACAAGGAGAAGGTG